TGTCAGAAGTTGTGTTGTCAGAAGTTGTGTTAGTCAGAAGTTATGTTGGTCAGAAGTTGTGTTGTCAGAAGTTGTATTGGTCAGAAGTTGTGTTGGTTAGAAGTAGTGTTGTCAGAAGTTGTGTTGGTCAGAAGTTGTGTTGGTCGTTGTGTTGGTTTTATACAGAATGATGAAGGTTAGATGCTTAGAGGTTGTTGTTTAAACTATAACAGTAGGAATAGTGACAGTAATAATGTAAGAGTTACAGAATAGCAGTATGAATTACTGTGGTATTAATGTACAACTGAGTTGCTAGTGAGAAGTTATTAATGATGTTGTGTTGATGATTTATAATAAATAAATGATGTTTGATGAATTATTATGATGATATGATAATTTGATGAAGAGACGTTGAGATGCTTTTGAGATGTTATTTTGAGATGCTTTTGAGATGTTGTTAATTTAAGATATTGTTAATTATGGTGTTGTTATTACATTCATGGTTGTGTCGCATACATTGCATTTTTGAGATGGAGCTTATGCTCGTTGAGATGGCCTGTATTGGAGAATTTTGAGATGAAGGCTTATGCCTTGTTGATGCCTCTATTAATTGACAAATTTTTGAGATGGGAGTTCTGCTCCAATGGTACCACATGCATTTGCATAGTATTGAGTCGCATTATATGATTGCATAAAGAAGTGTATTTTGATGTTGATGAATGTGTATATACGTTGTAATTATTATTGATTATGATATGAGAAGTGGTGATGTTATTGATCTAATTTAATATATTAATTATAATGCGCTTTATTATATTGTTAGATATCTCACCCTTTCTGTTTGAATGTTGTCCTTATGTTAGTAATGTGTCGGTAATCGAGAGTGAAGGCTGTATACCTTCGCTAGTTCGAGTCGGTGTCATTGCTCTGATATGTAACACTCGGGGGGATGAACACTTGCTGTTTTTGATTGTTGATTTTTAGTTGTTGAACTTTAAGTTGATTATTATTAAATATGTGTTGTTTTGAAGTTGCTGTATTTTTAAAGATGTTATTAAGAATTCTGATGCGTAGATGTTGAGTTATTTAATTAAAGATGTTATGATGATGGTCCATCCGATGTTTTGAAAGTGTTATATATCCACGATGAATGCAATGAATTTGATAGAAGAATTTGTGACGTCCCGATTCGTTTGCATGAATGATTTTTATAACTCTGATTTATTTATATAATTTTCCGGGGTAGAATTGGGGTGTTACACTACCAGTATTAGTGCAAGGATGGTAAGCCTAAGACACTTAGCTTAGGATTGATTGAACGTTGTTGTTAATGTTTGTTTAATGATTAGTTAGGGTTTAAATTGGTGAAATTCTGGAAATTGGGGATTAGTGTTCATACTTAGGGTTAGGGTTCTAAAGACCTGGGGTTTGGGTTCTTCGACATTGTTAGGGTTCATCTGATTTAGGGTTAGGGTTATGGGAGGTTAGGGTTGATATTGTTAGGGTTCATGTGAAACACCTAGGGTTCTAAGGGTTTGGATGATAATCTGAGTAGATGATGATGATCTCAACGATCATTCATCATCAATGACGACCTTCACGGCCACCCGCGGTGGTGATCAACCTAGGGTTAGTATTGTTGGTTAGGATTCATGGGATTTGATGAAGATCTGGGTTGGGAAGGATGAATATTTGAATGTTACGGTTGAAGTTTAATCGGAAATTGGAAACGAAGGTGGTGTTTGGGATGGTTCAGGGCGGTTGGTACGACAGTGACAATTTCCGGTGGGGGAAATCTTAGAGAGTCGCTTCTCTCTCTAAGGTGTATAGAGAGAGGGGTAAAAGAATATAGAGAGAGAGCGGGAATAGGAAAAAATGAAAATCTGCGAAGCAGTTCGTTTATGTACATCTTCTGTAACGTCCCTGATATGCATCATGTGGCTGCCAGCTAGCCACGGGATGAGGAGATAGTTGACTAGTTCCTTATGCGTCTCTCCATCATACACCTTAATCAACCTTTAATTTGGACCTTCTGTTTGCTATACTTTTAATCAACAGCCTAGAGTTAACCTCTGGTGGCCCATTGATAAAAAATCAAACACTCTTGATCATGCTAACGCACTGTAACGTCCCTGATCCACCTTACAACGCCTACACAGATCAAACAAATTATTTTGGGCTTAGCCCAATGCTCTTCACATACCCATTGATTTCTTAGTAGAACAAACAACACCTCGTTTGCTATTGGGCTCTCCTTTTCTATTAACATACCCTTAATTACTGCGGTGAACAAGAATACACCCCCTATTTTATAAATAAAATTTAATTAATTTTATTTATTTATTACTTTTTATTTATTTTACTTATTTTTCTTCCCATATTATTTTTTCTTTTTGTATTAAAATAACTTTTTTTTTTATTATTATTATTATTATTATTATTATTATTATTATTATTATTATTATTATTATTATTATAAATATAGAATTTATTTTTGATAATAAATATTATAACAACTTTAATAACTATTAATTATGTTCTAAAATTACTAACCATTTTTATTAATTCAATTAAATATTTTTTTACTAACTTCAATATTATCCAATCATTTTCAAACCAATCATGCATTTTAAGATACCTAACCAACTTCAAATTATTTTTCTACTAACTTAATAAAAAACAAGATATTTAAAATTAAAAAAAGATTAAATAGGATTACTTTTAAAATTAACTATGAAATACGTCTATGCTTACTCACTTTTCAAACCTAGACAAGGTTCAAGGATATCTCGAAAGAAATTCTATGTAATCCTATAAAAAAAACTAACCAAACATATACAAACTACAAAATAGACTATGATTTCTAAGCAAAAGGATATGTAGGCACGCGGTTAAAATCAAGGCGAGTTCCATAATTAAAAAATTAAGTTTTTTCTTATAAACATAGAAATAGTAACACTTAAATAGAAAATTCTCGATTTACCCTAAAACCTAAAAGGGAGCCCCTTGAGAAGAAGGTAGATGAATGGTGCCTAACACCTTCCATACGTCTAACCAATTCGTGAATCTAAAATCTCTAAACCAAATTAGGATTATCCGTTCTTTCTCTTCCTTAGGACAAAAAGTAATGGTGGGAACTCATATTTTTTTCCTAGTTACGACAACTGGTTTATTGGTTGAATCATTGGGTCACTAGTCTAACTGCATAATAAAATCGAATTAAGGATAACTCGGCTAAATAAACCAGTCTCTATAATTAAATTATATAGTTATTAAATTAATCGAATGAGATGAATCGATCTCTAAAAAAATTATGACACCTAGAAAATTTTCAGAATATCATAATTTTAAAAATTCATTCTTTAAAATAAAATTCTAAACATATTCATTACACACAACAAAATAATGCAAAATCCAAATAAATTTTAAATAAAGTCTAATTGCAACATAAACTAAATAATAAAAGAACACTATCTAATAAATTTAATTATAAGAGCAAAATTCTTCCAAATAAATTTTGAACAAAGTCTACTTATATTTTAATAACTTATCCGATCTAGGAATCAGACCATAATGATGACCTCTTTAGTTCCTATATCAATAGTGATCGGTCGATTCGGTTCGATTTTTAAAACACTACTTTCCTCTCTCTCAAAATATCTTTTTCTCTTCCTCTCAAATCTCACCATTTTTCATGCTTGTCTGTTCCTTTCATGTTTCTAAATCAAATAATCCTTTATTTTCTTCTCCAATTTTCTCACTTGGCCTGACTGCATTTATTAATTTATTAAACAATGTTATTTCTTATTTTTAATATATTTTAGTCTATACTGTCCTTCATGTTTAGCCACACCAATATGTCATGTCTGGATCCGTCCCTGCTGCCACCTCTTGATCGCCTCTAGCCACAACTATATGCACGTTGTCTAAGGGATAGTTCATTGTTAAACAATGGTTGATAGCTTCAAGGGTGTTGAAAGTCATCGTGCTGATGATGATCTTATATGAGTAATGAACATTAAGATTTTTATCTTTATGGCCTTAGGGATCCCTCCCTTTTAGAACATTGTCAAAACTATGATATATCCTTGGACCTACACTTGTTTTAATATAACCTTTTTTCCTTTGGCATGATTTATTTCATTGAGGTTATTGGCTACTGGGCCAGGGAACCATTGAAGTGTCTAACCTTGAGACCGTTTTAGAAAGTTTCAAAAAATATCTCTTAGTTCAGATTGGTGATCTTGATAGTTTCTTTGTTAAACTTCACTAAATATTCCCGCAAGGACTATGAATGACCTTGTGGAACTATGAACAGGTTTGTCTTGGAGACTTTCTAGTGCTTGCTGGTCGAGAAATGGTGAATCATAATTTATTTCAGATCCTGGTAGCTCATCGATATCAAAGATCCACCATTTCCCGGCCAATAAGCACTTGAAGGCTCCAAGCAAAGCTTATTGAAATGGTGGATCGTCATTAGAGGGTGGCATCTTTTAAAGTTGTAGAAATCAATTTTTATTTTAGTGAATTGGTTGCTTCGATGATAATCATTTAAGTGTTGATAGCGATTATGTACGCTTGGAATCGCTCTTACCTTTAAATGCTACTAGGGACGGTGGTTTGAAGTTGTCGGAGAGTGAAGCGTACAGAATCTTAGTCAATAAAAACTACATCGCCCTAACTTTACCATGGAGGGCTAGTAAAATCTCATTTTATCAATAGCGTGTATATCACTTTTCCCATATTCTTCTATGATCAATTCCATTTAAGACTCATTAAAGTCCATTAAGCCTATTGTCCCCTGATTAAGCATGACCCCTTAATGGTTCTAAAATTCATAGTTCCCCTGCTTGATCGTGCTCCATAATTCCTATTAAATTTCTATTAATGTGTTATCCATGCACTTATAACAAAAACAAATAACTAATTTCATTAAGAACTAAACATTCACTCACTTGTATTGTAATACCAACTTGATGCTACACAATTTGAAGCTACAAAGATCTTAATTGAGCTTTAGTTTAACCATGCGAAGTGGCAAGTTTATTTATCAAAGCCAAAGCATTGCTAGTCAATTGAGCCACTTGCACAATTTTCCCTCTCACTAGTGTCTGAATATTGTCCTGTGCATTAATCTCTTGAAATCCGTCGGTACAAGTGCTCTCATCCGTCAAAGCAGCACTAACCCAAGTTTGTACATCACTTATTGTTAGCTCAAAATTTGAAGTCCTAAGACGACTCATCTCACCAATAGACCTCCGGAGTTCATCCACCGAGTCACTCAACACTTCGACACAATCCTTCATAGCTGCAACCTCTCCTGGCTTCACACCGCGGCTTCTAGAGAGCGTTGACATGAAAGCCGAGGTTGATTTCGCGGATGCAAGAGTCACGTTTAGAGCCGTGCTTGTTAAAAGCATGCGATTTGTTTGAATGGAATCTGCGTGCTTCACTAAGGATGCATAACATAATCTTGGATAAGTTGTGGAACTGCAAGAGTTTCTAATGAATAAGGTGTTAGTTTCTGTTGCTTGGATAGAGTGTATCATGAAACTAAAGGAAAAAAATATGAGAAGGAACTTTGAAGAAAGTGCTTCCATTTTTTTCTTCCTATATAGCTCTATATCTGAATTGGGAGATGGGTGTATGAGAGAAAATGGGAAGGAAGGTAACCTATATATAGGACTCAAAATATCTTTAAAATAATTGAAATTTATGATTTCTAAGGTATCATGCAAATTGAAATTTATTTTTCGAGTTATATTCAGAATTACATTTCTGATTTTGTGCGATACAAAACTGTAAAACAATATTGAATGATATTAATTTACTGTAAAATTTCAAAATGTGAAACAATATTGAATGATATTAATTTACTGTAAAATTTCAAAATGTGATCCAAACTAAAAAAACCGGTTTTTTATGAGGGCCAAGGTGGCATTCGGGAAGGGTTTGAATTATATACAAACATAGGCGTTAACTAATTGAGAATAATTGGGACTCGTGGGGTTTCTAGTTCTTCTTTAGAAAAGTGACATTAATGTGCGTAGGACCTTAACCTCAAATGATTCAATACTCCTTGTCCAAGTTTAGTATGATTCAATTATTGATATGGTATTAGGAGATTTTAACTTTTGATATCCGACATTTTTTTTTCAAACTGCTTTATTACTATATGTGAAAAAAAATTTATTATTGGTAAGGGATGAAAAAGGAAATTTTTGGTTCTGTTACAAAATTTCCGTTACCCAAATTGTGAGTTTACCAGAAATGTTTTGAATTTTCAAATTTTTTTGTAGTATATAACTGAAAATTTTAAAATTTTCTGAAACAATTTAACGTAAATTATAAAAATTTTGACACGATTTACAAAAAAAGTTATAATATATTTTTGAAATTTTCAAAGTTTTGGTACACAACATAAAATTCATTCTGGACTGGGTCTGCTCTTGGCCAAAGTCCACATAAGACCCAATCCAGTCCGACCAATCAAAAACCATTGGGCAATAGTATCCACTCTTCAAGAGGACGCTTGTAACACCCCAATTCTACCCGACAATATATATATAAATCAGAGTTATAAAATTCCGACAACCGAATCAGGATGCTATAATTTCAACTTAAAACAACGACATTCATTACAGATACATAACACATTAAGCTTGGATGAACCAACGACAACATAATTTAATCTTTTCAAAACAACAACTTTCATAACTATGCAGTGGAAATTATAATATCCAACTTAAAGGACATAACATCTTGTCCAACCAGAAACAACTTTAAAAAGACAAGTACTTAACAAAATCCACTTAAAATTTAGCAATAAATCAATAAGCGTTCATCCCCCCGAGTGTTATGTATCAGAGCAATGACACCGACTCAAACTACTGAAGGTAAACCACCTTCGCTCTGGATTACCTGCACGTTACTAACATGAGAGTAACATTCAAACTGAAGGGGTGAGATATCTAACAATATAATTGAACGTATGATAAACATTACATTAGAATTAGTCTATGCAAAATCACCACTTCACAACTTTAAACAACATCAATCACAACAAAACATCAATGAAACATAATAATTAATTCATCAACACGGCAACTCAATATGCAACGTAAAATGCAACTTGTTACTATGCACATGCATGTGGTACCAATGGAGCAGAACTCTCAACTTAAAAACGGAGCAGAACGCCCAACATAGAGAAGCATAACTCCCAACTTAGAAATCTTCCAATAAATAGAGGCATCAATAAGGCATAACCCTTCAACTTAATATTTTGTTGATCCATGCCAACTTAACGAGCATCAGCTCCAACTTGATATGCGATGTATGCGAAACAGCATGATTGTAGCAACAACAACAACAACAAACATAAGTTTAACATAAATCAACGTTGGCCATAAGCCTACAACATCAACAACAACAATTCAACATCAACATAATTCAACTTTGACTATAAGCCTACAACATCAACAATAATTCAACATCAACATAATTCAACTTTGGCCATAAGCCTACAACATCAACAACAATTCAACATCAACATAATACAACTTATACAACACTGGTATCGACCAAAACAACATATACGGGTAATAAAACTAGAGAAACTATGTATCCCTCGACATGCACAACAATCAAGACAAATTAGTAACTGACTCACTACTCCTTGACACACACAGAAACAAAGAATAATAACAACTAACTTATGTTCCTCGGCACAACCTGCAACTTCGTTCCGCTTGACAACAGTGTTGTGCTCCTCGCCATAACCTGTAACTTCATTCTGCTTGACAATAATACCGTGCTCTTCGGCATGCCTCGCAGCCTAATGTCGCTCGACATCCAACGCATATATTCTCCTACACACTTCGCAGCCTAAATGCCTCTCGAAACCTAGCACTTCAGTATCCTCCCCGACCAGAAATTCGGCTAACAACACAGAACAACACGATGTTATAACGACCACATCAATGGGTAACTATATTTCCTATTAACTGATTCGTTCATTGTATAAGAAATTCACGCAGAAACCCTCCTAATACGACCATAACAACAATTCCTAATTTCCTGCCAACTTCTCGGAACACCACAGCTTCATAACAACCACAACACCCACTGATAAACTCTCCTAATCTAATCATCGATTCTACCGTGCAATGATACAGACAACTCAAACCGCCCACAACACTATTAACGACCAACTTCAACAACAGGTTCATTAATCATGCAAGACAGTCATACGGTAACTCCTTAAACGTCCCCAACATGAGGAACATGGCAACTTCAAAAATCGACCCAGAAACATCAACACACAACAGTCATACAAATGATTAATTCCCATATAATACACATCATAAATACCATTATAAGGTCAAAATCCCACCCTTACCTGGATTGAAGTTCGCTCAACCAAAGCTCTGGCCGTAATCCTTGCTTTGCTTTACTCGACACCGGGCAACTTGCTGCTTCCTCCGTGCAACTCTTACGGTCAGCGCACAAACCCTTAATCACCAACTAAATCAAATCCTTGTGTCAGCTTAACCTTATACCTCAATTCTATTGGGCCTAACTTAAACACCCTCACTTTACTACTTCCAACCAATAAAATAAGTCCAACACAATTATTCCATTAATTTCAATATTATTACTATTAATCAACTAATTAATTAATAATAACCTAACAACTTATACCAACAATCCACAACATCTCACAACTTCAAAAAATAATCCAAAAATAATTTAATTAAATAATTAATTAAATTAAGTGGCGTTACAACTCTCTCCCACTTAGAATATTTTTGTCCTCGAAAATCTACTCGATACTACCACTCTTAATGTGAACTTCGCTTCTAACTCTCTGATTCCCAAGTCGCGTCTGGAAACACTTCGACTACTAATCGTTCACCACGATTTAAATCAAATACACACATACTAATCATTCACCACCTTTCAACATAATCGTTAATAACTTATCAACCACTTCAACCATATCTTGTCATATCAACATTTAAAGTAGTAACAATCACAACACACTTACACTTGGATATAGAACATCACATTATCATCTTAACAACATTTTCAACATCAAAACACATGCACAATTTCATTCCCATGTGTGTGTGTGTGTGTGTATATATATATATATATATATATATATATATATATATATATATATATATATATATATATATATATATATATATATATATATATATATATATATATATATATATATATCAATTATCAACAAAATATCAACAACTCTATTTATATCGTCGTATCACCCTTATAGTGACATCAACATAGCCAACACAATAAACTTCGTCATATTATGGAGTGCTATCCATCATTTACGGTAACCAACAACAACATCACGACAACGGGAACAAAATCATTATAATGTCAACTTAACAGTATAACTCAACAAGTATACACACAACTCAACATCAACCAACAACCATATTAATATCCTTATAAAATAAACAAATATTTACGAGAAAACACAGTATCCCGGAACATCATCTCTATATCAACAATATACCAAATCAAGCATGTAGAGTTATATACTCATAGCAACTGTGCCACATACGCTTTAGCTGCGCAACTCTGATAATCCATCTTAAGTCACCATCCTCATAAAATTTATGCCAACTATACATTTTACAAGTCTCATTCTAGTTTCAGACTTTCCTCAATATCCGCCATAAAACCATTGTTCACTTGATATTCTTAATCTTTCACTTTGCGACGTTAGCTCACATATAAACCCACTACTCTGAATTATTCAATACGTCTCAACTCTTTCCTAGCCACTCCTCTATTAATTTACACAAACTGGTGAGTGATTATCCTCACGATATAAAATCAACCACTTCACTCACCATTAAGATAGCAAGACAAGTCTATATCATCCAACATGATCTCATCTACTATCATTAAGAGATTAAAGGTGATTAGTTCCTCAATTTGTCAATAGATAGCCGACAACCATAATGGAGTATAAACCATCGTTACCAAAGCATAATTGTGTTCCTTTAGAACTTGTACTCAAGTCACCTAAAGAACCATAATCTAATAATTTCTAATGAGGTTTACAAACACTCCCACAATTTTCCTCTCATTCGATCTTGTCGATAAGACACCAATGCTCAGCATATTACACGGTCCACATTACACTCACTTAGCCTCACACGAAAGTTAAGTATCCTCCAACTCTAGAATTACTTTCTTCTTCTCCGCATCATCAAGAATATAAATTCGATTATGGAATCTCAACACACCCTGTGCATCTAAATTGAAATCATCATTCTCTGACTGATCGAGTCCAACCACCGAATCTACCAATTTCACACCTAACTTATGAGCTTCTTTGATATTGTCCAGAAAATCATTGTTAATCTTCAACATCCCCAACATAACACTCTTCGGTGTCACTTCACAAACTAAGTTCATATCTCTGAACTGTTCAATTAACTCCAATTCTTTAACCATCATTGCCGACATATGTAAAGTCTTTCGACTTAAAGCATCATCCTCGACATTAGCTTTACCTGGATGATAATTCAAACCAAAATCACAATCTTTCAAC